TCCCACTTGAACCTTGTGTTTATGTGTTCACTAATCGTGCTATTTACAAAATCCGTGGAGTTTCTGCTCCCCAGCCCCTCACACAGATCCCATCACAGCAGTGACCTTTTCTCAAACCACTCCGTCACCCTCACTGTTTTCAGCCTTACAGATTCTCTGAGAACTGCTCCTGCTTATTTTAATTTCTTGCTCTTGCTTCTTATTTTAATTTCTTGCTCTTTTGCAGATTATTTTTTCCATCTAGGCCCTCTCTTCACTAACTGGCCCAGCTCTCACACATCCCTGCGCTCCTCCAAGAGCTGTGGACAAGGTGTTGGTTCAGTTGGTGCTTTCAGTGTTATTTTTACCTAAAAGAGCATCACACACACAAAAATTCACCTGTCACCGGTCCTTAATTCAACTCTGTCACCTCCAAATTCGATCCCACCCCATTCCTTTGATCTCAGCACTGTCCAACCCAAGTTCAGGCCTGAATGAATTCAGAGCAGAACTCATCCTTCTCATGCCACAAACATTTCCTGCTGCCACAGTTACAGTAGAAAACACAATTTGTAATCCAAATATTCCCTACACGTCTGCCTTCATCCTTGTGGACCAAATCCAGCAGGAAAAGTGCTGGCCCACATCAAAGGACAAGCACAACTTCCCAAGCCATGTCCTTCCTCAGCTACTCTGCTGCAGCTGAGCCATCCACTGGAGAATTATTTTGGTCCCATTTAAAGGAGAAAGACAGATTAATTTTGATGAAATATGGTTTAATGAAACATAAAAGCTGAGCTCAGGGAAGAAACTTGCTCTCAGAAACACATCCCAAGTGCTGCCACCTCAACCCAGGCCTAGTGAAAGCACCTCAAAACTCTCAAGCTCTCTCTGCTGAGAGGCCACAAAAAAACCTGAAAATACACACAAACAAATGTGATTTAATACATGGAACACTGCAAATCTGGAAGTTATTTCATCTAGGTGTGTTAGGTCACAGGATCCCAGAGTGGTTTGGGTTGGAAAGAACCTTAAATCCCATCCCATTCCATCCCTGCCATGGCAGGGACACCTTCCACTGGCCCAGGGTGCTCCAAACCCTGTCCAGGAACACTTCCAGGCCTTTTGGTCAGGAAGGAATTGGCCAAAAATTAAGCTACAAGATGTTTTTGAAAGGATGGCCCAGTAAAAACAGCACAAAAAAGAACCCAGAAAGATTTTGAGTAGTGAAAGCAGCGTTTCACCTTTACAAAGTGAACTGTCAGTGTTTTATTTGCCAAAGGATTACACACCTAGAGATAAAAAAAAAGCCATAAAATTTCATTCAGGACTTCAGCCTTCAATCAAAAGGTCCTTTATAGAAAGGAAATTGTTATCAACCAAGTTCAAAGACTGTCCAACACACTAAAACCAACATTTAAGTGTGCTGTAAAATGACAAAAAACACTGCTAAAACCAGACTAAACCAAATGAAAGTCACAAACAACGATAAACTCTTGATTTCATTCCCTTAATTTTCATCTTGATCAAGAAGGCAGCTAAAATGGTTTTTTAAAGCAGCCCAATTCCAGTCTGAGCAGAAAGATCTTAATTTTAAGACCCAGTGGTCCATTCTGTATTCAGAGGTATTTCCAGATTAAAGTCAGTAAAATATCTGTTATTTCTATACATCTTCACTCAGGGATGGTTCTACTAAACAAATTTGGTTTTAAACATGAAAATTGGCTTTTTACTTAATAGACTTCAGCTACTGTTAGGTAGAAAAATAATACACATTACAAAAACAAACAAAAAAAATTTCCAACTGTACCAAATCTTTGTCTTGGAGTGGAATAATTAAAATAAATACAGGCAACTTTACAACGTACCCATGAAGAAAAGCCTGGAAAAAGCAAATACCTGACAGGACAAGGGTTGCATGGGACAAACCCACGTGCCAGAAAACAGAGAAGAGTCACCCAAAAATTCACAGAACACAGACTGAACAGACTCACACAGGACTTTGAAAACTCCACGGACAAACTCCAGAGCAACATGGTTGTAAAGCAGCCCTCTTCAACTGGGAGGGCTGAAAAGGGCTGGGTAATTTAAGATTTAAACAGAAGACCCCTGTATAAAATATCACACTTGTCATCTCCACAGAAAACAAAAAAACAGCCCTGCTCCAAAAGACTGATTTATCTGAAAGCCTACATTAATAATTTTCATCCTCTTGAACCATTTTTGCTGGTTCTACAGCACTAATTAAATAAATCCCAGAGGTCACAAGGTAAGGATGAAATTCTCAGTAATTAATCTGCTCAAATTGTAACTCAGGCTGATATATATTCCTGATGTTACCAACGAATCCTGCAGCCAGCTTAAAATGCAGATATGAAAATAAATATTCCAGCACCTGCCAAGCTATAACCAACAATTCCCTGGCACTGTGATGCCCCAGGAATTGCCAGCTGAGGAACCAAGTGCTCAGTATGGTGGCTGTGTGAGAGTCCAGCACATGCAGGAAAAAGGGCAAAAAAACAAAGAGAAAAGCTTTTGACCTTTGCTCTGAGCTGAACCATGAATCAGCAAAACCAGCCAGAAGTTTCTGTACTCTCCAACAAGCACCTCAGCACATTTTAAGGCAGTTGCACTCATCATACCTCATGCCTGTGTGGTCAGAGAGGAGAATTCTCCTGCCTTACTCACAGCTGGTTTGACACATCCACATCAGGGCAGCAGCCACCCTTTGGATCCAGAATTACACACGTGCTAGCAAACAGGAATAATATGGGAATTATGGCTCCACCAAGGCCTTCAAAAGCACAGATAAGACTGAATCCTGGGATCTGACCTTGCTGTTTTCTCAGATCTGCATGCAGCAGTCAGGAAGAACGGGAGAAAGGCACTCAAGAGGGAATAGAGGCAAGGAAATGTGCAGTAAGGAAGTTAAAGCAGAAGGCACCAGAAGCCCCTTGAAAGACCAAAAGTTGATCTCAGCCTTGCAAAGGACTGGACCTGCTAATAAGAAAAGACTTGAGCACTGCCCTTAATCAGCTTTCTGAGGGCTAGAAATCATCCCTGTCATTAGTCTGCTCGGGCCCAGCAGTTTATTCCTCCCTGCCTCTGGTGCTAACCTCTGGGAATCTCTCCTTCCCAGCACCAGAAATCGTCTCTGCACAGCCCATGCTGTCATCTGAAACATCTGCTCCTCGGGCTTAATGAGACTGAATCAGCTTCCAAAATGGACAAGGCATGGTGTCAAGAAATTAAACCTTTAAGCTGCTGACGAGTGCAGCCTCTTGCTCCCATTACCAGGAGCAATCCTGCCTCACCTGACAGCTCTGCTCACTGCTTCCCCTCTCTCCCCAGGCACAGTTTCAGCAGATTCCTCCTCCCCTGGCTGTCCTGCATCTTCTCTCCCCAGGAACCATGTGGAGCTGCAGCCAGAGCCAACAGCAAGGGGCTTCAGCGTGGTGACAGGGAGAAGCAGCTCCAGTTTCTGCTCAAGAAGCGGTGCCCAGGCTCCTCTAGCTCAGAATTTGTGTGGGCTGAGACCTCTGCTCGCTGTCTGTCTGCTGGGGTGATGATTTGAAAGACAAACTGTCCCACAAGTGAACTGTATTGTCATTTAGGGAGCTCTCCCCTGTAGAGAGGCTGATAAATTAAGAGGGAAAACAACAGAAAGCCCTGGTTTTCATCCCTGAAACAGCTCTGCTGTTCCCCTGAGACCCTCATCTGAGTCTCAAGATGGGAGAAACCTGCCTGCCCCTCTGCCAAGCCCATGCCAGGACACGCTCAGCTCCTCTGCAGCTCACTCTGCTCCATCACATCCCCCTTGTCCTTGAGGGAATGCAGTTGGAAAGCAAATCCTCAGCACCAGCAGATGAGCACAGCTTGTCACCCTCAGGAAAACAGGGGTTCACTTGTCCAGCAAGACCCCTGAGCCCTTCACACCAGGGGAAAAGTGCAGGGAAATGGGGTCTCTGCCCCTCTTTCATTTCTGCTCCACAAGGACACACAAATGCAAGGGGAAGGGTGGCACAGGGGGTGTATTCTTACCTCATTTTGAAGGTGAGGGGGTGAAACATATTTCCCTTTATTGGAAGAGTAGGAATTAAGGATTATGTGTGTATGAGATGCCTGTTGCAATTCCTCCAAGAGGAAGGAGGAAAAATCCCACTTCATGCCTCCTCCCAGAGGGCAGGTGAGAAGAAATGAAATATAAAGCACAAGATCATAATTTCCCTAATGCAGAGGACAAGGGTCACAGAGGGACAACCCTTGCTTCCATCATTCCTCACTGAAGATGAGGATCAAAGACACATCTGTGGGGAGGAGAGAGTGGACAAACACCTGATGTTTCCACTCTGCTCCTTCTGGAGGAAAGGTGGGCAGGGAGGGAACTGGGAGAGTGCTGAAGGCAAATACCCACCCTCACTCACCCTCTGCTTCGGAAAAGCAGAGCATAAGAAGGTTCTCTGCCACCTTCCCTCCCACTTTCTTCCACACATGCCAAGAACCGAGCAGATGCCCAGATCTCCCTTTTCCAAGTCTCTGGTGCCAGGTGCATGCCCCAGATCGTGTCCTTCATGCTTGTGTGCAGGGGGAGCTGAGAAGGGGAAGATGCTCAGTCCCTGTGCTGCTGGAATGGCTGATGTGCTCAGAACACCCTGACTGGAGGTACCGCTCATCCTCGGGCAGGGGGATGGCCCAGAGTCCCCTCTCTCAGGGATGCCCAAGTCTTTTCCCTCACAAGTGTCCCTGAGCCTCGGAAAGGGAATTCCCACTCCCTCCTCGCTCAGGGACCTGCTGGAGATGCGCACCGCGAGTCCTCTCTCTCTGGATGATTTATCCTAAATCCCTTATACAGGAACACACCGGCAGTAAGAGTGACCGGGGCACCAAAGGCCACCCGGTGTCTCACCCGGTGTCCCCGCGGCGGGGTCACCCAGCGCAGGCTCCGCGCTCACGGGGGATGCCCGGAAAGCCTCCCGGGCACCACGACCACCCTCCCTCCGCCTCGGCACGGCGGCACTCACGGTTCCAATAGACGGGGTAGCTCTCGGCGCTGGCCACGTCCACCTCGTAGAGCCCGCTTCTCACGCACACCGGCTCCACGGCTGCCGGCTCCCCGCCGCCGCCGCTGCCGCCCAGGGCGCGGAAGGCCAGCTCGATGCGCAGCGAGTCGTAGCCGATGAAGGGCTTCCAGGTCTTGCGGTCCTCGCGGTAGAACCAGCGCACCTCCTCGGCGCCCAGCTCCCGCACCACCTCATAGCGGGGCCGGCCGCCGCCCGGCCGCCGCCTCTCGGGCAGCGCGCTGGCCGCCAGCGAGAAGCCGCTGCCGCCGCTGTCGCTGCTGCCCAGCCCCGCGCCCTCGCCCTCGCTGCCCTCGCCGCCCGTGCCCGTCGAGTACCGCAGCGACGCGCCGGACTCGGCCGAGTCGAAGTCTCCGGCGGCGGCCTCGTCGCTGAGGCTGCGCTCCCGCGGCGGCGCCGCCGGCTCGGGGTCGCCCTCGGAGGAGGAGGTGGAGAGCGCGGCGTGGAGCGGCGGCTGCGGGCGGCGGGGCGGGCGGGCGCGGGCAGCCGCCTCCTCCTCCTCCTCCTCCTCCGCCGCTTCCTCCTCCTCGCCGCGGCTCGGCCGCTCGTAGCCGCCGCTGCCGAAGCCGCCGGCTTGGCCGGGCAGGTGCCGAGCGCCCTGCGGCGAGCCGGGCTCGGGGTAATCCATGCCGCAGCGCGCCCTGCCCGGCGGGGCCGCCTGGCCTCGCCCCGCCCGCCCCCGCTCCCGCCCCGCTCCGCCCCGCTCCGCTCCCGCTCCCGCTCCGCGCCCCGGCCCGGCCGCGCTGCCGCAGCCGCCGCCGGCTCCGAGCGGGCGGGGGCGGCGCCGCCTCTCGTCACGCGCGGCGCGACGCGGGCGGGGGCGGAGCGGCGGCGGGGCGGGCACGGAACGGAACGGAACGGGGACGCCGAGGGGACAGCGGGAGCTGGGGACACTGTGCCGGACACTCAGAGTGACACGGACAGCGAGGGACACTATGTGGGACACTGAGAGTGTGGGACACAGTGTAGGACACTGAGAGTGACACGGACAGTAAGGGACACAGAGCGTGTGGGACATAGTGTGGGACACACACAGTGTGAGTGTGACATAGTGTGATACTGAGTGTGGGACACAGTGTGGGACACTGAGCGTGTGACACGGACAGCGAGTGACACAGTGTGGGACAGTGAGAGCGTGGGATATAGTGTGGGACACTGAGTGTGTGACATGGACAGCAGGTGACACTGAGAATATGGGACACAGTGTGGGACACTGAGAGCATGTGACACTGAGCATGTGACACGGACAGTATATGACACTGAGTGTGGGACACGGACAGTGAGTGACACAAAGAATGTGGGACAATGTGGGTGTGACATAGTGTGTGGCACTGAGAGTGTGGGACACAGTGTGGGACACTGAGAGCGTGTGACACAGTGTGTGACATGGACAGTGGGTGACAGTGTGTGGACTGTGAGAGCATGTGACACAGAGTGTGTGACACAGACTGGGTGACGTGAAGAGTGTGGAAGATAGTGTGGGACAATGTGAGTGGGACATAGTGTGTGACACTCAGTGTGTGACATGGACATATGGCAGGGACACCAAGAATGACAGTGAGTGTGGCTCACTGAGAGCATGTGACACAGAGTGTGACATTGAGTGTGTGACATAGCATGTGACACTGAGTGTGACATAGCATGTGACACAGAATATTTGATGTAGTGTGTGACACTGAGTGTGACACTGTGAGTGTGTGACAGAGACAGCATGTGACGCCAAGAGTGTGACACAGCATATGACACAGTGTGACACAGCATGTGACCCTGTATGTGACAGAGACATTGTGACACAGTGTGTGGCACACACAGCAGGTGACACTGAGTGTGTGTGAGATAACATGTAAAACAGTGTGACAGAGACAGTGTGTGGCACTGAGAATGCGATAGTGACACTGAGTGTGTGACATAGCATGTAACAATGAGTGTGACAGAACAGTGTGACAGCATGTGACATAGTGTGGGACATTGTGTGTTACAGAGACACCATGTGACATAGCGTGTGACATGGTGAGTGTGTGACACTGTGTGACACTGAGAGTGTGACATAGCGAGTGACAGTGTGGCACAGAGTGTGACACTGTGTGACACCAACAAACACAATGTGTAACACTGAGCGTGTGACATCTTCAGACACAGAACGTCACACCCTGTGTGTGACATGGCGTGTGACACTGTGACGTGCTCAGAGTGTAAAACTGTGTGACACCCTCAGACACAGCCTGTGTCCCTGTCCCTGTTTGTGTGTGACACCCTCAGACACAGCCTGTGTCCCTTCCCTGTGTGTGTGACACCCTCAGACACAGCCTGTGTCCCTGTGTGTGTGTGACATCCTACAGCCCCATGGGGCATTGAGGAGGAAGGCAAGACACCCCCAAAACTCATCCTGCTGCCTCATGGGGTTCCTGGTACCCCCAAAACTCATCCTGCTGCCTTGTAGGATTCCTGACACCCCCAAAACTCCTCCTGCTGTCACCCTGCACAGGAGCACAGGGCCAACAACCTGCAGTCACCCTGGTGGGAGAGGAACCCCAATGCTCCCCCAAAACTGAAGAAGGTGGGGTTCACCCGTGCTTGTTTGTATGTGTGAGAGAGAGAAAGTTGCTTCCACCTGCAATCCACACCTGGTAATCAGTGGAAGGGGGTGTTGAAACGCTTATCTGTGTGATAAAACACCTGGCAGCCCTAAAGGAGGAGGGAGGGTTCCCAGAATTTACAGCTGTGTGGGACAGCTCCCCACCCCAACACACACCCCAGAGCTGGTGAGGGGCAGCCGTGGATCAGCTCCAGGTGCCCCAGCACCTTTCCCAAGGGCTGAGGGCTGGTGTGGGAGGCAGAAACACACCCTGGCTCACTGGGGTGGGGTCACCTGTTTATGAGACACCCCCCCACTTTTTGCAACATGCCCAGGAGGGAGGAGAGCAGAATGATACTGCTGTCTTGGGGACATCTGGGTGGGCAGGGAGCTGATAGCTGCACCTCTGTCACCCCTGGGTGTGCACTGTCCCTTCTGGGTGTGCAGTGTCCCCTCTGGGTGTGCAGTGTCCCTGTGGTATTTTCAGGGACCCCTGACAAGGGAAGGAATGATGAATCTGACTCCATGTTCTCAGAAGATAAATTTATTATTTTATGATCTATATTATATAAAAGAATGATGTACTAAACTATACTAAAGAATACAGAAAGGATACAGACAGAAGGTTAGAAAGACAATAATGGAAACTTGTGACTCTTCAGAGTCTGACACAGCTTGGCCCCAATTGGCCATTGAGTGAAAACAATTCAGAGCAGAAACCAATGAAGCAATTGCTTCAAAACAATTGTAAACATTTGTACATTTAAACATGTTTACATTGTACATTTAAACATTTGTACATTTACAATTGTAAACATTGTTTACCACCTGCTGGTAAACAATGTCCAAACCACATCCCTAAACAGCAAAACACAGGAGAAGCAAATCAGATAATTATTGTTTTCATTTTTCTCTGAGGCTTCTCAGCTTCTCAGGGAGAAAAATCCTGGGCAAAGGGATTTTTCAGAAAATGTGATGGTGACATGTCCCCACACACCACAGCCAGGCCAGGCTGCTGCTCTGTGCCCATGAGCCAGACACACCCTACAGAACCATGGAATCATTTAGGATGGAAAAGGCCTCCAAGACATTGAGTCCCCACCTTGTCACCCAGCCCAGAGCCACGTCCAGTCCTTCCTTGGACATCTCCAGGGATGGGGACTCCATCATCTCCCTGGAGAGACCATTCCAATGCCTGGCAAGCCTTTCTGTGAAGAAATTCCTCCTAATATCCGAACTAAACCTTCTCTGGCACAACTTGTGGCTGTTTCTCTTTGTCCTGTCCCTGTTCCCTGGGTGCAGAGCCTGACCTGGCTGTGCCCTCCTGTCAGGAGCTGTGCAGAGCCACAAGGGCCCCCTGAGCCTCCTTTGCTCCAGGATGAGCCCCTGCCCAGGTCCCTCAGCCTCTCCTGGGGCTCCAGACCCTTCCCCAGCTCCATTCCCTTCTTTGGACATGCTCCAGCCCTTCGATGTCTTGTTCCAAGAGACCCAGAACTGTTCCCAGGGCTGGAGGTGCCTCAGCAGTGCCAGCACAGGGGACAGTCACTGTCCTGCTCCTGTGGCCACTCTGTGCCTGGTACCATCCAGGTGCCCTTGGCCTTCTTGCCCACCTGGGCTCACTCTGGCTCATGTTCAAGCAGCATCTCCAGATCCTTTTCCACAGGTCAGTTCTCCAGCCTGGAGCAGTCCATGGGGTTGTTGTGACCAAGAGCTTGGCAGGGGCTGTAGCTGAGTGCACTGATTGCACCCCAGCCCCACCTTCCCACACCTGCGCACCTTTTCTAGGGCATATTCACATTTTCTAGGGCAAGAACAGGGGAAAGGGGATGGCTGGAATTCACCTCTGCCTGTGAATCACCCTGTGCTGGCTTATGGTGGAAAAGACATAAAAAAAAGACAGCAAATGTGTGTGTGAGAGTCCTGTATGTCCTTGTGCTCCAACCCCCAAAATCTGTGTGTGTGATTCTCCTTCTGAATTTTCAGCAAAACCCCTCACAGCCCCACTGTCAGCTGTGGAGGGGAAATCAAGCAGGGTACAGAGCATGTGTTCCCTGATTCCCCCTTCTCCCACACATCCTCACTGTCTCCATCCTCCAGCCTGCAGTGACAAGGGGACTTCTGTGCAGTGCATGGTGTTGGGTGTCCCAAAATAGGCTCGTGCTCCACCTCCTACATCCTCTTTCAGCTGGGGAATCCTGTTAATGGAGTGTGTTAAAACCCAGAGAGAGGCCAGACAGAGTTCAGGCTGGAAGGGGAGGTGAAGCTTTTAAAAATGTTCACTGCTGGCGTGGTGTTTCCCTGAGTCATTGAAATCCTGCTGAAATGCTGCACACGGATCCTTGGGTGCATCAGCAGCCCTAAAAGCTCCAAGAACATTGTGAAGAATTCAGCTGAAGGAGCTCTGAGCATGCCTCTTCTCCCTTTCCAAATGGAGAAAGAGGGAAAAGAGAGGAGACAAGCAAGGAACAGGCCAGGAGCCAGGGGAGGAGGCTGTGCCAGGCTGTTTGGCCCCATTGTTTTAGCAACTGGGACATGATCTGTTTGTTTAACTTACCTTTTGCATTCCTAATGAGCTGCACGAGGTAACCTCACCCTGAAGCCTTGTCCCAGATTTTTCTCCACAGTGGAGGAGAAGAAGAAGAAGGGAATGTTTCATTATGTTGTGCATTGATTTTTAGACACAGATTGTGGGACTCTCACTTTTTATCCCCATTTCCATCAATGCCAGTGTGATTTCAACATCTTTTCTCCTCTGACAAGTTTTTCACCCTTCATGTCATCCTACTCACATTCTCCTTCCTTTTTCTCCTTGTCTGAGATCAAGGGAAAATTTTCCAAATGGACAAGGGGGCTCTCCAAATGTTCTTTACCTGTCTCATGTATTCTCCCAGATCATGGAATGGTTTGGGTTGGGAGGGAAATTCAAAATAATTTTGTTCCACCCCCTGCCATGGCAGGGACATCTTCCTCTGTCCCAGGCTGCTCCAAGCTCTATCCAGCCTGGCCTTGGGCACTGCCAGGGATCCAGGGGCAGCCACAGCTGCTCTGGCAAT